AAGGGCAGATACGTCCATCCCGTAACCAAGGGAGTTAGAGAACGGAGCAGCAGGCTGGAGGCCAGACCAGGTCCTTTCCTGCAGGGCCTGCACACCTCGACGGCAGAGGGGGTGTCTCCTGCTGCCAAGCGTCCCAGTCTGAACCCAGCCTATAGCGACAGCATCCTTGGCCATCAGACGGCCACGGGGTCACGGGGTCTCCAGCTGGTCCCTCGTGGGCATGGGCCCCTATTGCATCCTTCGGCATCTTGCGGAAAATCCCCAGCAGAAAGACCCAAGGGCTGGCTAGCCACGAAAGCTGCACTGACCTCACATTTCCCCGGCCTACTGCGGAGGAGACATCTAGGGACAAGCCATGGTTTTACCAGGGATTCCTTCTCATGGGCTGCTCTTCGTTCCCCAGGAGATGGAAATGCAACCTCCAGCCCCTGGGGGAGGCGATCACCTCTCTTCGTGCGCTGGGAACAGGGAGAAGAAAAGCTGGACCCACTCCCTGCCTCCCGCTTCCCCCTTGCTCCTAAACGGCCTGGCGAGGTCTATGAACGTGGCCCACCAGGGACGGCTGCAGGTTACGGTCACTGCGCTGCTGCGTTGCGTCAGGCCCTGCCGTTAAGCGCGGGCGTTAATGTAGCAGAGTGCGGTACAGATCCACAGACATGGCACAGGGGCCTGCTACTGCACCCAGCTATTGGTGTGGGCCCTTTAGCTCAAATACGAGAGGCCCGTGCTTTGGGGCCAGACGTCCCAGGTTCAGTCCTGGCCAGCAATGGAACCATAGGGTCGCGGCATAGAAACGAACGCCCCTTCAGAGCCTGCCTTGCTCTGCATCTTGCCGAGCCCTGGCTGGCTGTTCGGGAAATGCCTAGGTGCGCACTGGGGGAGCCGATTCCCTGCTGGTGCGGGGCAGGGACAATCGGTCACGGCCTCATTCCTAAAGACCCCGCTCAGCACAAGCCTCAGGGCTGGGAGTGGGCTGCTGGCACGAACTCTGAGTTCAGATCGACAGGTGGGTGGGACTCAGCATTTACCTGTGAGGAAAAGAAGGGGGAAATTGTCCCCAAAACATCAAGAAGGAAGGGGGGGGGGAGAAAAGCAGAGCTTGAGAAATAATGGTGTGTTTCTCTGAGTTTAAGACACATAGGGAGTTTTACACAGGCCAGCCCTGGCTTTCTTGTCCCTCTGTCCCAGCTAAACTGCATGGTAGATGCCTAGGACCCAGCACTGCGCTCAGCGAGTTGTGTGCACACAGCTACTTCCGCTCCCCCCCTCCCCCATATAAATACAGCGCACTCGTGCGACAGACCGCAGCTCAGCAGAGCCCACAAATGCTTTTTCTGCTGCAGAACTCCCCAGCCCGCCCGCCCCCCCCCGACTGACCCAAAGCTCTCACACCATCCCGGCTTGGGAACGGATTCTTAGTTTTAGCAGATCTGAGACAGCAGAGTTTGAATCCAGACCACCCCAAAGTCTGGGGTGTCCGTGTTGGGGACTCATCTAAGGAAGCCGATGGTGTCCCCCAAATGGGGAGGAAGCCATGGTCTCGCTAAAGCCCACTGCTCCTTTCAGGCAGGAGAATTGCTGGGCTTCCCATCACCTCACTGCCCTCAGGGTCTCATGCCACACCTGGGCCTGAGCACCCAGTCCAGGCTAAACTCCCCCCGAAGTCCAGAGGGACTGTGGCTGAGTACGAGGTGCGGGACAGAGGCCTTTACGTAGAAGGCAGCAATCCCTTGCTTAAGAAGGAGGCAGGCCTAGTGGTTAGGGCAGGAGACAGGGAGTCAGGACACCTGGGTTCTGCTCCGACCTCTAACAGCGGCTCACTGGGTGACTTTAGGCAAATTACTCAACTTCAGAGACTTGTTCCCCACCCCCCATGAAATGGATTCCATAATCCCTGCACACCCCGCTCCCAGAGGGGCCTGCATGGCTCCATCACCGAATGTCCATAAAGCGCTTGGAGCTCCCTGCTCTCAGCAGGTGCCTTTCCCACTCTGGCCCAAGTCAATGCATGATTCTGTTCGATCTAGATCCTCGCACCATGCTCAGAATATCAGAGTATCACAATTACCCCTTCCCTGGGGATCGAGCCGTGTGACCACCATGATTCATGCACCCGCCTTTGTTGTTAGCTTGTCCTTCCACCCTCTATTTAGTCACCTGTTGCATATTCACTAAACCCTAGATTGTGAGCTCTCTGGGGTGGGGACTGTCTTTTTTCTTATTTGTTTGCAACTGCTTAGCACACCAGGACCCTGATCCCTGACAGGGTCCTAAGCCCTTACTGCAAAAGCAACAACAAAAGAAATTATCAGCAAGGTAACAAAGTTCCACTTAAACCTTCGCCCTCCACTTGGTTGCTCCTGGAGTTCCTCCCTCTAGAGTGCTCAGCCCACACCCTGGATCATCTCTGTAGCGAACCCCTTGGACAGGAAGTAGGACTTTGTGGTTAAGGCACTGGATTGGGACGCAGGAGATTTGGGGCCAGTTCCCTGCTCCACCAAGGACTTCATGCATGACCCTGACCAAGTGACGGAATCACTATGTGCCTCAGCACCTGATCTGTAAAATGGGAAGATGTTACCTTTCTTCCACTCCTGGCCTGTTTAGATGGTGGGCGCTTTGGAGTCTGTCTCTGTGCATCTGACACAAAGGGGGCTCAGTCTCCGATGGAGCCCCCCACGTGCTACCATCCCCCTTAGATCTGAATGCACGAATGAGGAATCTGCCCCAGTGAGTCTCCACTACCCACTTTGCCCTTCATCAGCCAGAAGGGCACCTGCTACCGGCGTGGGAGGTTTCAAGCAGACTCTGCCAGCCTGTTCCAGTCATCAGGGAAGTACTAGCCACCCATCTATTAGTCCACAGACGCTCTGTTGTGGGCGTGGGGAAGGGGAAGATACCAGGCGGAACAGGGATAAGGATTTTTGAGCGAGGCAGGAGTTCATTCAAAACAGCAGCAAATCGAATGAGCAAGGGGGTCCAGTGAAAGGCGTGGGTGAAACCCGGGAAAGGAGTAGTTGGCCCAAAGAGGAGTGGAAAGAAGTTAGAGCTTTACTAATGGGCAGAGGGGCTCCCCACGGCCAGTAGTTCCCCTCCCAGCCCTGGCCTCGGGCTGTACCTCTCCGACCCAGCCAGCCGTCACCACCTGACAGCTGTTCCATGACCTCTGTAGGAAAGAAGGTGGCAGGTTCCACCCTTGGCCTGGCATCACCCGCAGCTCTTGTTCGCAGCCTGAGCAGAGCAAACGGGTCATAGGGACGTCCCCCTTGGCACTCCTGGAGGCATCCTACTCAGGTCAGGGAGCCAGAAGCCCACCCTGTCCCTAAACAGGCAGGGAGCGGCTGCAGTGTAAACAGAGCGACTCCAGCGGAGTCAATGGGGCTACCCTAGCGTATCCGAGGGGCCGGAGGTCTCCTTCCAACCTGGACGCTGCCAACAACTGTTCCCGGCGTCGCAGCCCCGAGTCGCCACAAGCCCGCTGGCTCCAAGGAGCGCCCCTTCTGCGGGCGAAGGGGACAAGTGCAGGGTGGCGTCATCCCCAGGATCACGGCCCTCCCCCGGGGGACCGATCGGACGTACATCAGCGTATGAGCGGAGCAGCCGCAAAAGAGACCAGCCTCGGCCGCCCAAGGTCAGCACCGGAGCCCCTGCCAACTTCGGCCCTTTGCTCTGAGCATCTGATCCGGGCCCATTAAAGGCAGCCCTGTGACACAGAACAATCCACTGGCGCACACCCTTCCCACAAGAAAGGGGAAGTGCACTATTAGTAACGGCCTAAAGGAAAAGCACATTACAGGGGTAGCCATGGTAACCTCTTGCCACCACCGCCCCCCATCCCTAGCTCTCGCCTGCTGGCTGGGAAAAGCAGGATTTCCGCTGGAAGACGAGCAATTCCCGGATCTGAGGGGCTGCGAAGGAGGAGGAAGTCAGGCTAGGGGAGCAGGGGACACACAAATACAACCCAGAACCGGGCCCAGAGCAGGGAGGGGAAGCGAGCCCCCTTCCCCACAGGCGGGGGGTGGGGTGGGGGGGACTTAGACAGGAAGCTGCAAGTTCCTGCTCCCAGCTGAGCCACGCCAGGAGTTAGTGCAGAGAAATCAACTCAGAACAAATGGGACCAGGACTGGGCTGAAGGCCCCTTTCCCAGACACTGTCAGCATCCCCGCTGGGGGCCCTTGGGACAAGGCTCCCAGAGCGAATGCCCACCCCACACTCAGCCAGGGGACAGTGGTGCGTAGGGTTGGCTCCAAGGACCAGTCGTCTCAGTGGCTGGGGATGGGTCACCATGCAAGCATTTTCCGGGGGGGGTGGAGATACAGCCCCCCCCCCGGAAAGGGCAAAATCATCTGAATTGCGAGGACTACAGGGGTGTCCCCTGCCCGCCCCTCCCCGGACATAGCCAGAAATAACAGAGCTGCCACCCGAATAATGTCTGGAAGGAAAGTGACACCTTCTTCTGCCACCCCCCAGGTCCAGATCAGGCAGGAAAACAAGCCGCTTGCTTGTGCAACATCCTTTTGTTGCTGCTGCCGATTAATGCCCAGCAAAGCGGAGCGGGGGCTTCGCTCCCCTCTGGGCCAACCGCGCCGGGGGGAGGGGGTTACGCCGGATTGACACGGGAATGGAGCGAGCCTCGTTTGTTTCACCCGGGGAGAGCCCCGGGTCGCCTTCCTTCCCCGCAGCCACGAGCGAGAGGGGCGCCTCGGTCAGAGGGGCGGCAGCCCCCCGGAGAAGGCGGAGACACCAGCCCCCCCACACCGCGATCCTCATCCCTCCATCCGCCCCCCGTCGCGCCGCAGCTCCCGGAGCGCGATGCCCAGAGGCAGAGGGGGATTCAGACAGATCATCCACGCCTTGTGCGGGGAACCAGAGCGACCCCATTCCCCAGCTGGCTGCATTCAAACACACGCAGCCCCCGCCGCCTCCCTCCGCGCCCCCTCGGCCCTGCATCCCTACCCCAGCCGCCAGGCGCGCACCTGCCCGCCCAGGACTTGCCTTACCTTGCGCGTCTTGCGCCCGGCTCCAGCCTGCGGGCACGGGGCTGAGCTGGCCTCTGGCGGGGAGGCGGGCAGGGCACAGCGCGCCGGTGGGGGCCTGCGTGTTTCCCTGTCTCTTCAGTTCTTCTTACTGGTGTACAGCCCTCAGCCGGCCCCCTTCTGCTCTTCCCCCCCCCTTAGCAAGGCTTCATTGTGCGAGTGGGAGCCGGAGAGAGCTGGGCTGGGAGCTTACGCATCCCAGCAAATCCCCATCAGCTGGTGGAGACCCCGCCGCTAGGTTCCACCCAGTCATTGATTGCTGCCGCCTGGGGTCCTGTCAATCAGGAGCTCCTCCGGGAGGGGGGATTTGAAAGCCCTTCCTGGGCACACCCCACCCCAATCACACAATCAATCCCACAACATCGGGCTGCCCAGGCCAGGGGTAGATTGCAGAGCTACCAACCCCTTCCTCCCCCACATCTCCCCTGACCTGCAGCGGGTCACTAGGGTCCTGCAGACCTGGCCTGGTCGGTATCTTCTGAGGGAGAAGGGAATCCAGGCGACCTAGCTCTGGGCATTGGCCACAGCTAGTGGGGGCGGGGGGAGGGCCTGCCAATCAAACCATTCCAGGGTGTGGCTATATCAAAAATGAATCGGTAGGAGGGGGGCTGAGGAAATCCCTAGTACCACCTGTTAATGCGACCTCTGGGCACCCAGCTCCTCAAAGGGATCCAGACCCCTAACTCCCATTGATTTCAAACGCATTAAAAAAATCCCACTCATTTCAATGGGTGTTAGGTGGGATCAGACTCTGAATAAATAAATCATAGAATCTCAGGGTTGGAAGGGACCCCTCAGATCATCTAGTCCAACCCCCTCCTCACAGCAGGACGAATCCCCAGACAGATCTTTGCCCCTGATCCCTAAACGGTCCCCTCAAGGATTGAGCTCACAAACTGAGGTTTAGTAGGCTAATGCTCAAACCACTGAGCTATTCCTCTCCCCCTCTTGCCTGTTGCTACTAGGAGCTCCAAGAAACCCCCAAATGAGCAACTGTGAAATAACCCACTCACAGGGTCCTTCCTAATGCTAGCTAGTTAGTGGCTGAGAGGTGAAGTGACTCCCCTAAGATTGCGAGCAGGTCAGTGACCCCCATGATTCCCGATTCCATGCCCAACCCACCTGGCTTGACCCCTTGTGAGAGTACGGGCTGAAAGAACTAAGGGGGCTGCCCCCTCCACTTCTTGCTAGAGGACACACCGCTGGCGCAGTTTTGAGGCACAAGAGCGGGGGCAGCACCTGGCAGGAACTTGCCCAGGTGTGGTGCCCGTCCTGTAGAGAGCTGGGTAAATAACAGATCTCTCAGTTCACTTGCCATTCAAAAGATTATTTTTTTAAAAAGTTTCAGGTTGAATCAAAATCAAAAGTGTTGGAGATTTTCGGCAAATGGAGGAGTAGAAAAAAAATGTCAACTCAGGTCAAACCAAATGTTTTGTTGGACCCGAAATGAAACGTTTTGTTTGGAGTTTGAGCATTTTCAACGATCAACCATAAAATGGAAGGACATTTCAAAGCACAAAGTCACCTTGAATCAAAATGTTTCGATATTTCCTGAATTTGGTTTTTGAATTACTTTTTTTCCCCCACCCAAAACAATTTGGCAAAACCGACCCAAATTCACGAAATGTTTTGGAGTCACCGAATCTGCATTTTTTGCCCCCCCAAAAAAGTTTCCCTAGAAACAGTTTGCTCAGCTCTAATTCTGCAGGTAACGAACTGTACTTCTGCAGTGGATTTCAGTCCAGCTTCTGTCATGAGCACTAAGGCCCAGATTTCAGGGGAAGCTAGGAGCCTAAATACCTTGGAGCATCTGGAGCTGAACTCATTAAAGCCAACCTGTCATAAATATAGGGGGAAGGGTAGCAACCTTTATGTATGCAGTAGGATCAAATCCCTCCTTGGCAGCTGTACTGGTTCAGAGTGGGTGGGGGGGCGGGGAACCCTGATATGGTGTTAGCAGTGGGATTTTATGCTACCCTTCCTCCTATATTTATGACACAACCCAAAGTCCATAACAACCAGTACGGACCACTCCTAAGCACTAATGCAATTCTTCCCCTCCCCCTCTGGAAATGGGGTATCTTCCGCCCAAAGAAATATGGGAGGTGGGGGGGGAAGCAAACTGATGCAAAACTGAATGGAGGATGAAATTCTCTCCTCCCCTCCCGCCCCGGAGAGAGGCTGTGCAACGCTTACTCACTGCTTAAGGGGACTTACAGGATGCAGATCCTTGGGCGGGTTCTTGGCACAGTGGGGGTGGGGCATGGAAAACGACCTTCGTTGCACAATACAACCATCACAAGTCAGTATCGCATCTTGCCTCCAGAAGAATCTCAAACCGCTTTGTCGGCGGCCTCCGAAGGAAGCCGTCGCCCATCTCTGCTCTGCAGCCACCTCTGGGGTGGAATGCAGCTGTTCTGTGATAGCAGCCAGGCAATGGTTCTCTCTGGAGGGGAAGTCCAAAGAATTTCCTTAGCCAGGTCAGCAGTGGGAAGGCAGGTGGTTACCCAAACTCAGCTATAACCAGCTTCACACCTCTGCAGGAAGTGCCTCTGGGGTTTTGATGAGTGCAAGTGCCCCAGGAGCCTTTTTGCAAAGCTCTCTCCAAAGACCTCCAGTGGCACAACTGCCCCTGGACAGTTCAGTACCTGCCCGGAGGGAAGGGCACCACCTGCTGAATTACCACCAGCGCTCCCCGCAGCACCAAGGTTCAACCTGGCACTTTCCCGGTCAGGCATTAACCAGGCCCAGCTCTGCTTAGCACCTGGGAGCTGGGACAGTCACAGCCCACAGGGCCAACACCTGGATGCTGGAGAAAACCAGTGAAAACACTAAGGCTGGAGCCCAGAGCTTCACTGCAGCAAACAGCTCCCTTCCAGGAAGCCCCAATCTTAGACATGCTGACACCCCGACATAGACACGCCCCAAGGACCCCAACGTTAGCAATGCCAGCCTCCAAAATAAGGAATGCAGATCTCCAGTGGCTCCCTCGACAGCCCCTCGTCTATCAAAAGGGTCTTAAAGCCCAACGCCAGACTCAGAGGGGAGACCCTGCTGGCTTTAGGGGAGCCACTCTTGAGTTGCGAGGAGAATCAGGCCATTAGAAAACCATCAGAGGCAAGTGTGACCCCCCAATGCACTGGGTGTCAGGACACCCGGGTCCTATTCCCTGCTCTGCCATTGACTAGCTGTGTGACCTTGGGCAAGTCATGTTCCTCTTCTGTGCCTCGGTTTCCCTTCTTGCTCTTTCTCTATCTTGTCTATGAGATTGTCAGCTGTTTGGGGCAGGGACTCTTACTTTGGGAACGTTATCGCTGTAATGCTTAGGAGCGCCAGTCATGGACCAGGCCCCCATTGTGCCAGGCGCTGTACATTTTTGTTGCTATTAGATGTATTATGGTAGCTCCTAGGCGTTTCCGTCATGAACCAAGACCCCATTTCACCAGGTGCTGCACAAAACACAGCTCAGAAAGAAGGGCCCTACCCCCAGGGTCTTACGCTCTAAGCAGTAAGAAACAATGCCCCAGGGATGTGCATGGCAGGGCTCTCTGTACATGGCTCCCGTCTGCCTTTTGCTCCACTTCCCCCGCCTCCCTGTTTTTGCTCCGTGGCAGGGGGCCGTGGGTGGAGCCGGTGAGGTCCCCTCTCCACAGCATTGCCCCATGACCTGGACCCGTGTGAAATTCCAGGCAGGTGGTCACACCGCTTGGAGCCGTGTTAACTCGAAGGCAGCCCGGTTCCATTGTGAACTGCAGACCCCGGGAAGGGGCAGCTGTCCCACCCCAGACCCAGGATTGCTCCAAACTCACAGTGCCTTGCGGGACAGTCCAGGGAAAACTCTGGAAGGGGCTCTTTTAGGGGGAGGGGGTTAAGGGAAAGGGGGGCTTTCCCCTCGCAGCCCTGCAGCACGGTGAGATTCGAAACGCTTGTCTGGGATGGGTAACTGAAAGAGGTGGCTGGTATATGACCCCACAGCCGGACTCACCAGGCTCCCTCTTGTAAATAACTCTGGACTCTGCTGACAGCTGGGGGGCTTTGATCTCGCAGATGAACACTGCCCACCTGGGGGAAAGGTGAACTCTGAGCAGGTGCCCTCACCTGCCTGCACCAGGAGCTCCTGGAAGGCCAGGTGCAGTTGCGGAGGGTGCCTGAGCCCTGGCGCTCCTCCCCTGTCCCAGATGGGGGCTGTGTGTTTCATTCACTAATAGAATCAATGGGGGAGACAGAGTGGAGACACCTGTCTGACCCCTGCTGGCTTTAAGGGAGCCACCCCTGAGTTACAAGGGAATCAGAGGCAGTGTGACCCCACTGCACTGGGTGTCAGGATGCCTGAGTCCTATTCCCTGCTACTGACTAACCTTGGACAAGTCACTTCTCCTCTCTGTGCCTCGGTTTCCCCTCCTGCACTCTTTGTCTGTCTGGCCTATTTAGATTGTCAGCAGGTTGGAGCAGGGGTGATTACTATAGGCACATACAGTGCCTAGCACCCTGATCTATATTAAGTCCTTATCTGCTCCCTAATACTGCAGTAATGGGGGTACCTCAGCCACTTAAATATATTCAGCTTCACTACACCCTTGTGTGCTATTATCCTCAGGTCACAACTAGGGAAACTGAGGCATAGAGCAACTAAGTGACTTGCCCAAGGTCAGTGGCAAAGCTGGGAACTGAACCCAGGTCCTCAGCGTCCCAGGCAATATCATTAACCACTGGGCCATCCTTTCTCCTGAATTCTGCTGGAGCCTCTTGATGGCTACAAATAATGACTGATGACACTAGCTCCTAACTCAACGTTCACAACAAAGGATCCCAAAGCCCTTTGCAACCCAGGCACTCAGGAATCACCCCACATCACCCTGCGACACAGCACCTCACCCCTGAGAGATTTTTTAAACTCTGACTGTAGCAGAGGCAAAACGACGTCCAACCCCCTGTAGGCTGTAAGGGGAGGGGATGACTGGCACAGCCCAGGAACATTATGGGGTGACGGGTGAGTTAGACTCCCTTAGGCCTCCTCTTACCCACATGCGGATGGGTAACGGACCTGACCGGCTGTGGACGCACTGGGAGAATAATCTGAATGCTCGTTCTGCCGCAGTGAGGTAATGGGGTCAGTGAGGTGCATTGTTTGGCCAGCAGCACGCTCCCGATGTCAGCCCATGTTCTGGTTCGGTCCCTGGGGAAACACCCCCAAAGCTGGAGAATAACAGGGCTCAGCCCGAGAGCGTCAGCGCGTGTCTCGGGCCAAAGCAGAGGGGCAGCAGGGGGGTCAGGGCACGGCCCAGCGCTCTGCTACCCAGCAGAGCACGGTCCGGCGTGCGGCCGGAGCTGGGCTTCGAAAAGGAGCCTGCGAGTGGACCGGGAGCACGGAGACTTCGGAGGAGGAGATGTGCAAAGCTGCCCTCAGAAAAGGGCACTTTAGAAAGTGCCGAGTTGGGAGAGGCAGGGTAGGCTCGGGGCTAAGGCAGGGACTAGGCCTCCGGAGAAAGTCAGAGATCTCAGAACAGTTCTACTAGATAAGCTTCG